TAGAAGCAAACAATGTCACACTGATGATTTCAGGGGGGATCTGAGAGACAGAACAAATCAATGAATCTCATCACGGCCGACGACAGATTTAAGAGCTCACTAAATGCCACAGGTCACTTTTTAAAATGACACTCTGTGTTCTCCATGTCCCTACCTCTCATTCTTCTCAAACCCTTATTCAACTTACAAAACAAAACAACACAATCGATCAGTTCCTTGGAGTCTTTTCCTTTTGGGCCTACTCTGTCCTCACCTGTCTAAGTACATTTAAGGCTTCAAGGTCAAGTCTTGCATAACAGAATCTGAGTGTTGGTCCCAAAGAAGGGCGTGTCCTCAGATGGTCAGAGGAGCCGACTCTGAGTGTTTCCCATCTTCTGCTCATTATAAATATCTTTACCTACAATGGCTATGCTGTGGGTTGGGAGGAAGTACAACAAGGAGACACAGTATCTACTCAATTTTATAGTTGCACTATCTAGCATTTAAGTAACTTGACCAGTAACTATATGGCAAATATAGTAACTGGCCAAGTTACTTCAATACTCAGCCTCAGCTTTGTCAACTGTAAAATGGGAGTGTCCAAGTATCTAGTTCTTAGGATTGCTGTGAAGATAAAATAAGATGATTCATGTAAGGGAAGAATAGCGCCCCTACCTAGTACTTGCCTAATGACAGCTGCTATCTTTAGGATGATGAACACCACAGAAGAGATGGCAGGCAGCATCATGAGAAGCGAACACGAGCATTACAGATTTTGAAAGGTAAGTGGAATCCAGTGTTTACCTTCAATTATTTACACTTTTGATAGGTCATTGCTCTGAGAAATATTTTATTCAGAACTTCCTAATCCATGTCTGGATCTATTTAAGATGGATCTCCTCGATGGACTTTTTCCTTTATAGGCAATCAGGAGTCTACCGCAAGGTCCTCTGCTGAGTTGCAGGGCAGAACTTTGCTCTGGCATTTATTCACCTCTTTCTTCTTCCTTCTCTCCTCTGATTTGCAATACTTTCCAACACCCAGGCCCCTCACTGAGATAACGCTGTAGGCCTGCTCTTCCTAAATGTCTCATATTTCAAAATTACTTCTTCCTATGCCATTCTTCCCCATCTGGTAACTAGTCTCAACTAAAATTATGTAGAGATGATATTTACATAGCACTTCATAATGTGAGAGGTCTTCTGTGCATGTTTAAGAAGGTGCTATGAAGTCCACTAAGAGTCCCACAAACAGATGCCTTTTCATTTAAATTATATCATATATATATTTATATAATGTCACATACATAATATAAATCATATATATATATATGGAGAAAAATTAAACTAGCCTTTTGCTTTCATAGCTTCAAAAATAGTTGTGAATCACTCAGTCAGCCCTCTCTTTACTGCCACAATTCAGACTCCAATCTTCTGGCAGCCTGAGACCTTTCTATAATTCCACCAAAGACCCAGGACCAAGCAGGGACTCTGTCCCACCGCCCCCCTTCGCTCTGGGCATCCTCCGGATGGCTTCCACAGGAAGTGAGCCACACTGGCTCACTGCGGCTGCCGCAGAAAGAAGCCTTAGGCAGCTTCCACTCATTTCCTACTTCATGCCTATTGTTTTCGCTGCTCAGTTGTTATAGCTCAATATGGGGATTTTGTGAAAAATAAAACCTCCTGTACACGGGAAGCCACGAAGAAAGGTACTTGGCAGAAAGAACTGCCCTGCTGACAAAATGCATGCAGGCCCGTTGCAGGCAGAGCTCCGGGCGCTGGTGCGAAGCAGCCCGTGGCCCCTGCACACTCCGCCCCCCCGCCCCCGCACCGCCCTGGAAATCAGCAGTTGCCTCTCTGACTGGGCTCCATTGAGCATCCCACCCGCGGCTGCCCTGGAAGCACATACCAGCAAACAGAATGAAAGGGGCCTTTATGAACAGGAGTCGGTTATTCCTCAAACAGACTCCCACATAAAGGCATTTTTGTTCCTGACTCCTTAGGAAAAACTGAGCTCCTTCTGAGCAGTCTTTGCGGAGGGAGGGGAAACGGACAGGGGAAGAAGGCTCCCGGGGGACAAAGGAGAGGCAGTGGGAAGCGTCAGGCCCTTGCTGAGGCTAAAGCTCCAGGGTTTGGTGGCAGATGGGGAGTGGGGGCAAGGTGATGCTGTCACTGCTGAGAGCAGCTGGCTGGACAACCTCTTTCACGGGGGAAGGGATCCATCCACGCAAGGAATATTTTGCAAAAATCTCAGCACTGTGGTCTCCAGAGAAATTGCAGGGAACTAGGTGTTCTCTGAATAGATTTAATCTTTTATTTGTTTCTTCTCCTGTTCTTTTTATCTAGATAGCTACATTTTATATCTTACAAGATTCAAGCAATTTTCATCATACTACCATAGGTTCTTTTTCACTCTTTTCCTAAAGAAGCAAAATCTCCTAAACCATTTCAGACATCCCAGAATCTGAATAAGTATACAGAAAAAGGCTAGAGTTTTACAATATCACTTATTTGGCTGTTACATGATTAAACACACATGTGTACCAAACATATATAGTACAGTCACACAGAAACCAAAGATATACAGTACAGTCACAATTTATCCTTCAATAATTAAACATTTAATAACATTTTATCACAATCTCACTAAATCCAGGTGCTACTACCCCTTATGAAGAAAATGCACAGGAAAACAGTACAAAGAAAAAATGGTGGGTTTTAGAGATTTGGATTCATTAAGAAATGGCGAGAAAATGATGCTTATCACAATTCTGTATTAGCTTGAGTAAAACAGACTTTCCCCAGTAGGCAGGCATCGGCTGAAATGAATTCTTATCATTTTTAAAGAACGTCTCATGATTTGAAAAACCCTTCCCAAGTTTAATTTATGAACTCTCATTATGTTGCTTCAAAAGAACAAAAACCTATCGTCCTGAGAGAACCCACATCTCAGCACCTCTGGTGACGGCATTGATCTGCGCAGCTCTGCAGCCTGGCCGCAGGTGTAAGGAAGTTATGAAGCAAGCACTGGTTTAATATCCTGTACACATCCCACACCGAGGGACTTAATTACACGCCTGTGTTCTAAGGAAGAAGAGAGTCCCTGTGGATATCAAACAGTTATTGCCTCTCTACCAGCAATAAAGAGCTGTCCCTTTAAAACAAAGGGAGATTTGATAGGAATTCTGGGATTGTAAATCTTGGTTCCCACACATTAGTCTGTTTACACATTTGCTCCAGTGTCTTGAGCATTCTGCATCTATTGGAATCCCATCCTTCAAGGAGATGATCTTAATTACAATAATAGTAACACTTCTTAAGTATTTATCATGAGGCTGGCACTGTTCTAAGTACGTTACTTAAATTCATTTATTGAATTCTCACAACACTATGTGGTGGGTGCTAATATTACCCCATTTTACGATGTTGGAAATGGATGCACAGAGAGGTTAAGAAGCTTTCCCAAGGTCGCACAGTCAATAGGTGACAAAGCTGGGATTTGAACCCCCACAATCTGGTTCCAGAGTCTGTACTTTTTTCACTATAACATACAGCCTTGGAGGACTTTGGATCTAAAAAGACCTCAGACATCACATCATCTTAATTCTCTTATTTTATAGGAAAAAGAACGAGTCAATGGAAGTTAGGTGACTTTTCTTGGCACACACAGCTAGTTCTTAGAAAGTTGGGAGCAGAACCAAGATCACTCTAATCCTAAGGAAATGTGTCCGTATTGGCCTCTTCTCTCATGGTCTTCCCTCAGAAGAATTCGGTTTCCCAGTATCCTTTTCACTAGGCAACATCTCGACTCATATTACCATGGCCCCAACAGTTGCTACTTGTCATAAACTTATGTCTTGGTTAAAAAAGATCAGTAATGGCAGTAACAAAAGCAAAATTCATGGTCGGGCATTCCGGTAGGTTATAAAGGATGAGAGTGACTAAGAACCATTCAAGGGACACTATTCTAAGAGTGCAAAAATCCCTGGTGCTCTCCTGGATCTTTCCATTTTAAAGATCTACCCAAAGTAAGTCTTCCCTGGAGACTTGACTTGGGCTGGTGAACACACAATACAGGGTACAAATGCTGTGTTGTAGAATTGTGCACCTGAAACCTATATACTTTTGTTAGCCAGTGTCATCCCAATAAATTCAGTAAAATGGAAACCAACAAAAACAAAGAAAGTCTTCCCTGTTGCATCTCACGGCACCTCTTCCTATCCTTCAGAGTCCTCCTATGTCACAGTTTGTTTAATTGTATAGATAGTGGTATGTGTCTGTGTCACAGCTTAACTATAAGCTCCAGGAAGACAGGGGCTAAATCTGTTTTATTTGTCTAGAACCTGGCATGTACTAGGTACACAATTAATATTTATTCAATGGACCTACACCAAAAACTCAGCAACACAGTGTTGATTTTGTACAGAGAGGAAGGGAGAGAGATAGAGAGTTAGAAACATCGATGAGAGAGAGTCATCGATCAGCTGCCTTTTGCATACCCCCTATTGGGGATATGCCCGCAACCAAGGTACATGCCCTTGACCGGAATCGAACCCGGGACCCTTCAGTCCCCAAGCAGACGCTCTATCCATTGAGCCAAACCAGTCTCGAACAACACAGTGTTAAAAGATGATATTAGGCTGCTCTGCATCTTGCCTAATAAATCTCTGTTCTTCACTGCTCGTTACCTGGACCACATCCACTGCCCAAGTAGAACACATGCTAAAGGGCAAAGTCTCCACCAGAGAAGTCTAGTTGGCTTACAAATCTACCTTTCATTCAGGGTCAGAAACCTACAGGGCGGGACTGGTTATAATGTTAAATCTTCTTTTTTAAAAAAAAAATATATTTTGTTGATTTTTTTTACAGAGAGGAAGGGAGAGAGATAGAGAGCTAGAAACATCATTGAGAGAGAAACATCGACCAGCTGCCTCTTGCACACCCCCTACCGGGGATGTGTCCGCAACCAATGTACATGCCCTTGACGGGAATCGAACCTGGGACCTTTCAGTCCGCAGACCAACGCTCTACCGCTGAGCCAAACCGGTTTTGGCTATAATGTTAAATCTTGATAATCAAACTAAGTAGATGACCAGTCAGAAACTTGTAAATTATGGAATATGTTAGGGGGAAATGCATTACTTTTAAATTCTGAGGGTAACTCAAAGTAGGTGAGCAGAGTTTGCTGCAATACATTTCTTTGGGGACCTGCTTGAAAGACTAGAAAAAATAATTTGTGTTTGGCATGTTCCCATTTGACCTGCACATTTATATGTAAAGAGCTATTTCAAAAAACCTTTAGGATGCTAAAAAACAAAACAAAAAAACAACCTCAAATGATTCTTTTAACATTTTAAACATTACTCTTACAATCTTGTTTACGCATTAGTGTATTATGATCACTTGCATTATTATCCACAGAGAAAAGGTCTGTTGAGTAAAATTAACGTTACAGTTTCTCTCTGAAATAAAACAAACTGTGAATTAATGGAATCAAAATGAACAGATTTTTTTCACACTAGATGAATTATAAGCAGTTTTCTAAATTCTATTTCCTTGACAGTTATGTAGAATTTCTCCCCAAAGTATAACACTTTCAACTCTTTCACAATGAAGAAAACGTTCAAGTCAGTAGCATTAACTCGTGCCTAAGTGATCCTCTGCTGTAGTTTCTATTTTATAGGTGGATCCAACTAAAATCTGTCTTATTTTTGTGTATATAAGTTACTTATTTTGAGAAGCATAAATGATGAAAAAGAGAGCCCACAAAACGCAAGGTAAGTGTTCTCTCATGGGGACCATGCCAGAGATGACAACTACATTTTCATTTGTAGAAAATACCTGTGTGTAAGTTAGGATGGACAGATCTTTTTTGAAATTTGGATTCAACATTTAGCCTCATCTTATCAAAATGAAACTGCAAAATCTGTTCCTTTTTAAATGAAAGAGATAAAAGTCACCTTCATATTTTAAAAAGGCTCCCTCTTGGGACTTCTGTGGATGTAAGGACAACTAAGCAGAACTGCGGGCAGCAGCTCTGTGCCACAGCCAAATCTTATTAGGCCCCAACCTCTGCAGGTGTCCTGAGATCTTGTCAAAAATGCCTGGCCAGTGTGGCTCAGTGGTTGAGCATTGATCCATGAACCAGGAAGTCACAGGTTCGATTCCTGGTGAGGGGATAGAGCACAGGCCTGAGTTGCAGGCTTGACTCCCAGTGAGGAGTGTGCAGGAGGCAGCAGATCAATGATTCTCTCTCATCATTGATGTTTCTATCTCTTTCCCTTTCCCTTCTGAAGTCAATAAAACTATATATTTTTTAAAATGCTCTGGGGAATCGCTTCTATCCCACTGTTTTCCCCTTATGACTCTGGCTTATTACTCTGTAACTTTAGTCTTCTTCCTTTTTTTTTTTTTTTTTTTTTGAAAGGGAGGTAGGGATTGCTTGGTCGTGTTTAAAATAATATAATGTGTCTGATGATTGATAAGGAAATGATAAAAAATTTAGATGTGTTTTTATGATTAAAATAATCATGGCTATAGGTTTCAGGGTTCAATCCCTGGTCAGAGCACATACAAGAATCAATCAATGAAGGCATGAATAAGTGGAAGAACAAATTGATCCTTCTCTCTTTCTCTCCCTTCCTCTCTCTCAAATCAATAATTTAAACACACACACACACACACACACACACACACACACACATACACACACACAAGGAAAACTGAATAAAAAATCAAATAAAAACAAATAAAAAAATAATCATGTCTAAATATCTCAATGGTATGTCTTTTAATAAATAATTTTTAAAAAGCCCAATTTTTACTTTCAGGGAACAAAAAAACTTTCTTGATTAATTCTGAATTCCTTAATCAGAGGAAATTCCGATGTCAAAATACAGCCTTTGCTAGATGTTAAGTAATAAAAAAGACACCAACTAAGGTTCAGGCACCAATTCCCTAGAGCATGTTGCATCTGGAAGGAAGATTCCAGAGGAGATTGCAGGACAGGGAAACCAATCCTGTCTTGGTCATTTGACAAATGGGATGCAATTTTCTTATGCTTTCCTCCCAGAGCTCAGCTAGTGCCTCTATGAAATAATTGCTCCTTCTTTATATTCTAGCAGTGGCTGTGTTTCGCTGGGAAGGGTGGTGACTGGGTGTTTTGACTCCAGAGCATTTGGGGACTGTCTCTACTTTACAGAAGAAAATTTGGAAATGAGAAATCATTTTGAAAGGGGGGGTGGTGGTATGCATTCCCAGGCCTTGTGCTACCAGAGGTTTAAGGAAAATCATTAGGCCACATCTTTCCTGGCCACCCCTCCTCTCTAGCGATACCTTGCTGTTTAGCAGGCTTTGTCTAGCCAGTACCTGAGTCAGTCCTGAACAAGCCTACAGTGCATTTAAAATCAGATCTCCAGCAATGGGCGAGTTATGAAATAGATTTTGCTTCTTAAGCCATATAGCCAGAAAGCTTGGAACACCTGGGCACCCAGGCCATGTTCTCTGCATTTGGCTGGTCTCTGCTAGGCCTCAGCCCTCAATGACCAGGCCTTCTTCCCAGAATCTTAAATGCTGTTAGATAGGAGGTAGCTTCAAAGCTGGCAGAATGGTAATTCCCCATCCATGGCACTGCACCCCGGGATGCCTGTACTACCTGGTGTGGTCCAAGGAGGCCCGCCACACTGCAGGCAGCTGGGTCTCCCAGTGCCCCTCCTCTGCTCCAGGCTTCCTCCCTTCTCACTGGAGAAGATGAAGATGCGCCAGCTACAAACCCCGATCTCCCCAGGAGAGTGTGCTTCATTTGATTAAGTTCCATTTTCTTTTTCAGAATTATTTTGGTGGTGAAAATTCAGCACTTTAAAATGTTATAATACTGGCATCCTAGAGACTGAAATATGAAATAACAGCACAAAATAGGTCCTTGTGGGAAGCCAATGTGCAAATTTTCCCACCACGTTCTGCAAACGGTGCACAATTCTCAACTACTCCATTTATCTCCGGGGGGCAGATAGTGGGTCTACCCAAGCATCCATTCAATTTGTGTTTTCTCCTCGCTAAAATAATAATAGATCTAAAATATGGCTTTCCATCTAAAATTAGCCCTTCGTTAGCCACTACCAGCTACCAGTCAACATAAGGGCAATTCATACAAAAATAAAATGATTATGCAGATAGAATAATGCACAATTTCATTAATTGAATCAACAGTTCTTTATTCATTCAGTGCTTGTTCTGTGTTGTATGTTGTACAATAGGGGACAAAGAATTAAACAGGAAGAGGTCCCAATCTCAAGCAATTTATTTCTGAGGTTGACTTTTATAGTGTTTGATAGTCCCACTCTATCCTTTGTATTCCTAATGCCCCTGTCTCTGAAAATGACAATAATTATAGTTTATCTATAACAATGAAAGCATAATATGCTAATTAGATAAGATGTCCTCCTACATGTCCTTCCGGACTACCTTCTGGATGAAGCCGGGGCTGCGGGGGAAGCGGGATCCGGGTGCCAGAGGGAAGCGGTGCCAGCAGCCGGAGGAAGGAAGGTTACTCTTACCGGGCTCTAGTCTTATTATAAACATTGTTGTCATCTGTCACCTACTGCCACTGTCCCAGAAGAGTGAGAAAGCCTGTCTGTGGTCTTTGTGCTGTGTTTCCGCCTGAGAAAAGACCACAGTCTCTGTTTACAAAGTTCTGGACACAGATTTCACTTCCTATATGGAGGCCAAAAGGAGTATTTCCTGCTAAGTGCATACTCCTTTCAAATAACTAATTTAGAGCAATGCCACTTAAAAAAAATAGCATTTTTCTCACTTTTAGAAGAATATCAACTTACCATTGCAGAGAAATTCTTTTAAGGGCTTACAATTTATAGAGGAAGGTTGTTTTTAAAATAAAAAATACATGTGAACTCTGATTGGGGATGGGTGGTATCAGCAGGAATTGGGGTTTGTCTGGAAAGTTGTGTGAGAGACAGGCCCCCTACTGATAAGTCTACAGAAGGTAACTGGTGTCTTCTAATGCATCATTTCCTCCCTAATTAACCACTTATTCCAAGTTCATTTACCTGCTGCCTCTCTAAATCTGTCCTATATCCGACAGCAGTTTAGGTGTCTTTGATGAATCCATTTATACTCTTTGTTCTAATTCATTTTATTTGAGGCTGTGACAGTTGACAAGAACAAAACATTATGTTATGAGTCAGTCATAATTCTTACGCTCAAATGTATCCTTTCCCCTCATTACAGAACAGAGCTTCAATATCATAAAATAAAAATTTCTTGACCAAAAATTATTTTTATCCACTGCATTTACAAGGCTATTTTCCTCTAATGATGATGCCCTTATTCTGAGAAAACAGCAAAAAAGATGAAAGAGAGAATAGGGAACAGATAATTGAACTGATTAATACATCGGAGTACTAAACATGACTAAAATGTCTCAATATCTGGGGCAAAATGGTGAATACTTTGGGTTACGTTGTTTTCTGACAAGACAAAGGCAAAGCACACTCATAAGTAGACAAAATGTCCCTGAAGTTAAACCCAAGGGAGAATTCCTGTAGCGACAGGCTCGGTGGCCCTTCCCGATGGCAGTGTGCAGGCAGTAAGGCAGGCCATCAGCCACGCGTTCTGTGGTCCATTTCCCCTGCTTCATCAAGAGAGCCCCCAATCATACAATCTTCTGGTTTCTTCCAAAGCTATGAGTATGTGAGTGACTCTGGTCAATATTAAAGATCAGTTTAAACTTATATTACACAAAACAAACAAACACCCTTCACATAAAATCTGATCAAGCTAACTAGCCCCCTGGCAATACATCCAACAAGCTTCATCAGCCAAGATCTCTCTCGGTTACTGGACCCACCAGATCAGGGCTGCAAAGGAGCTAGCTTAGACTGCTTTAATTAGGTATTTCACTTACAAATGAATTAATTAATTAGTGATAAGCATCTGAAGCACATTACCCATGTGGTCTATTGAAAGCCTTAAATAGATTTTAAAAAATGCTGACATCTCATTACTATCAGAAAACATTAGCATCCAAGATGATTTACCAAACCTTTTGCCCAAACAGTTTGTATCCATTCTAATCCTTCCTCCACTCGGGGCACTCTTGGCAGGAAGGCTTTTTCAAGAAGATTCAGGAAGAGAGAGTGAAAACAGAAGCTAGGGTTACTGTGGTCAGTGTTTCTTCGCAGCATTTCTTTGATCCTAACAAAGCTGACCCAGGTGTTGGTCCTCTTCCGTCGGCCTTGACCTGATGTCTGTTACGTTACCTGGTGATCCCTATGCAAGGGCACTGCCATGTCTGGCAGCCTCTAGCTGGAATAAAAGTGGAGACACACATACACAAGAGCCAACATGGAACTACTGAATTTTCAAGAAAGAGATGATCATTGCAACTTAAGTTCCTTCTGCAAAAGTATATATAAAAAAGCAAGCAATCAAAGGAGCAAAAAGAAACCTTGATTTGTATACTAGATGCAGTGACTCCTAGTATTAAACACACAAATGGGAAATTCCTACCCAAGTAGGCCTAGTAAATATGGCCAATTGAATAAAAATTTTTCAATTAGATCAGAAAGAGTTTTGTGTGTCCTTTATAAAACTCATTCATGCAAATTCAAAAACATCATTTGGTTACTTGTGGCCATAATATGGGCCTAAGAATAAAAACACGTTTGTCAAGACACTAAATGAATTCTTGGCACTGGTCTTTACTCAGGAAGCTACTGGAGAGATTCCCATCTGAAAATAATCTTGGGAAACAGAAATATCTGAGCAAATAAATCAAGCCACGGTAAATGCACATGGCATTCTTAAACAGACTAACTGCATGGAGATGAGTCACCACACACGACAGTTCTGCTCAAGTTTTAAAGAAAGCAAGGCTGAAATGGTGGAACCATTGGCCAAAGCACTTTTCAAATCAGTGCATCTGAAAAACTTGAAATTAGGCAAGTTACTAAGGTGGTCTAAGTTCATAAAATTAAAAATGTGAATAAAAGCCATCAAAGGTTTATTCATTAACTTCTGTTAAGATACATGATATAAGCCCTATTAGATATGAAAATGTCCAATGTTAATTTCTGGATAAAAGGAGTAAATTCCATGTGATGCAGTTGTTAATGCGGTAAATACAGAAAACAAATTAAAGTAGAGATACTATGTACATAACATGTGTCTTATAAAATACTGCCTTTTTCCTGACTACAAAATATGTCACTTGAAAAGAATCTGGAAGGCTCAGAGAGGTAATAGGAAAAATATATAAAAATCACTTGTAGTGCACTTTTTAGAGAAAATTTTAGGAATGTTCTTTCCATCATTTTTAATATACATATGAAATGAAACATGTGGAAAGATATTTCATATATATATATATGCAACATTTCTGTTGTTATTGTTGGATCAGTTTCAAAGGAATACAGGGGTTACCTCAATCCTAACATGAGACTTACACACGTAATTTAAAGGCTGTAACCTTCCCTTCCACAGTAACTTTGAGCTCTGCAGTGAGCGATGCTTATTTCTTTCCCTGGAGCTCGCCTTCCCTGTATTCCCATGTTGCCCTTCCCTCCAGCCTCTCCTGCTCCTGTGGCTGATGACTGTGTCATGATGACACATGGAAACTGTGTCATCCTATATTGCACTCCATTGTACGATCCCATCCATAGCAACTGAACTTTTAAAATTCTTCTCATTAACCTTATTCTTAATGCTTTTATTTCCCACAATACAACGTATTATGTTAAAAAAAATGTAAACATACAGAAAAGTTGAAGGAATCCTATATAATAAAGAGCTAATATGCTCATTAGACCAAACAACAGAACGACCCTCTGGACAAAGCCGAGGCTGCAAGGGGCTGCGAGGGCTTAGCACCCTTTCACAAATTTCATGCACTGGGCCTCTAGTAAAACAATAAACACCAATACACCAACCAAATAGATCTAACATTGTCCCTTCTGCTTTCTCTGTCCCTCTGTCTCTCTCCACCATGTGGAATTGGGTAGCAGACATCTTTAGACTCCATCCTGAACATTTCCGCAGGAGCATCCCTTTAAAAGCAGAGCACTAACATTACAGCTTAAAACAATTCCCAGGGAGTTAGCGAACTTCAGCAGTTTTACCTAAATATTTATTTGAGCTTTCCCCCAGGCCATCTCCCACCTCAAGGAAACCAAGCACACCGAAGCCAGGCCTCAGAGCCCTGAGCTACAGCACAGTGTCTGGCGTGAGGCTTTTCTAAAGGACTGCCCACAGGATGTTGTTCCCTCGTGTGGTGACTCATTAGGAGAAAGAATCTAGGCTGGTAATCCTGCAGGGAACGACTCTCCTCTAGAATGTCAGGTCTGGTCAAATCATGTCATTCTGTTCTGAGAAAGTCACCCTGAGGATTTCTGGTGCCTGAAGAAGCCAGTGGTGATGGAAGTGAACAGGACTCAGCCCACAAGCGGGCTTCTGCCCTGCGATGGTGGCAGGTGCCCTGCAAAGACCCTGGCAGCCTTCACTAAGCAGGGCAGCTGTAGAGCGGCAGGAAGTGGCCATCTCTCCCTCATCTAACTGGGATCGCAATGCTTCAGTGAGGGTGTAACATTCTCAGGACTCAGCATTTAGTCTGAGCCACTGGAATTAAGGGTTTGGGGTGACAGACTTAGTAAAGGTGGGGGGTTGGGGAGGGGGTAGAAAATGAGGAGAGGAAGGCAGAGAGGCTCCTAATCCTGCCCAAGATATAATAGAAGGTAATCTTAGTGCTTTCTCCTTCCTTTTCTGGCTATTCCTCCTATATTTCTCCCATTCTTTCCTTTTCTTTTCTTTTCTTTCTTTTCTTTCTTTCTTTTCTTTTCTTTTCTTTTCTTTCTTTTCTTTTCGTTCCTTTTCTTGTCTGTTCCTTTTCTTTTCTTTTCTTTTCTTTTTTCTTCCCTTTTCTCCCTCCTCCTCCCTCCTCCTCCTCCTCCTCTTTCACCTCCTTCTCCTCCTCTTCCTTCTCCTCCTCCTCCTCCTCTTTCACCTCCTCCTCCTCTTTCACCTCCTCCTCTTATATTTCTCCCATTCTTTCTTTCTTTTTGTTGTTGTTGTTGTTAATTTTTACCTGAGAATATTTTTTTCCATTGATTTTAGAGAGAGTGGAAGGGAGTAGAAACAAGGAGAAACACATCATTGGTGCCTCTTCAATGCCCCCAACTGGAACAAGCCCACAATTGAGGTATCTGCCCTTGACCAGAATTGAACCTAAGACACTTCAGTCCATGGGCTGATGCTTTAACCATTGAGCCAAAGCAGTCAGAGCCCCACACCCTCACTTTTCCTCCCCTCTCTCCCATTACTAATGAAAGCTAACATTTCTATATGGATGAGAGGCAGTGTAGCACAGTGGTTAAGACTCTGAGCCCTACCGTCCGAGACTGAGTCTGAGTTCAGGCATCTCCTAGCTGGATGATGGTGGGCAAGTTACTTAACTTCTGTGCCTCCCCGTCCCCGCCTGGGAGGTGGGGGTAAGAACAATCACACACACCTCCTGGGGTCTTGTGGAGATTAAATAAGTTAATATGCTTAAGGCACCTAGAACAGAGCCTGGCTCTAGTAGCTATATTTAAATCTACTGAATAATTATGTTCTATAAAGGCCTTTTCCTGCCTCAAGTCTTCTAATCCTGACAAAAACTCCATGAGAGAAGACTATCATTACTCCCATCTCACAGCATAGAAAATAAAGCTCAGATAAGTTCATTCACTTTCCAGAATTTCTCAGGGAGTGAGTGGTGGTACCAGGCTTTGAGCGTAGGCAGTGGGCTCCAAGGCCACATATTCAGCCAAATTGGGACACAACAACACCAAGTTCATGCTCAGAGACTATTTCATTCTCACATGCTGCGCCTTAACCAATTTACTGTCATGCATCTCCCCATCCCAAACACACACACACACACACACACACACACACACACACACACACAGTTTTCATCAAGCCTGATCTTAGGAGCATGCAACATGAAATCATGGCACCAAGCCATTTGCACTTTTTCTTTCACACGATTGCAAAAACTGAGCTGACCATTTTGGTGAGCAGCACCGACAGGGCCCTGGCCCAGCTCCCAAGGCCCTGACCCGGGTCCCTGCTCACTCCCCCAATGGTACTGCCAGGCACATTCTGAAGCGAGCAGCACAGCTCTCAGCTGTATGCCTCTTGGTTAAATAATGGCTCAGAACTAACTTGAGCAGCAGGGATGCATTGAGTTCAAGAACTGAAGGCAGAAGGGAGGGAAAGTAGGTTGTTCTGGAAGCTCCATAGCTAATTCCATGTAGACAGGTGACCCACATTATGCCAATTAAGGGCCGCTGTAGAGGCGTGCGCAGTGGGCTTTTAAAAAACATTCAACATTGAAAGGTAACGTGGAGATGGATTACGGTCTGTGGAATGCACTAGGGCCTTTTCCTCTGTAATTCAATTAACAGAATGGGGCATGGACTTCTGCTGGAATCCTCCCAGGCGCCTGGAAGGCAAAGTGGGGCACAGACTTTGAAGTCTGTGAGGGTAGAAAGGTAGGCCTTGGCAAGGCTGTGCAGGCCCTGGAGCGTGCGCCCGTCTAACAACGGGCCCCAGCCAAGGCCGTTCTGTCCCAGGAACCCAGGTGGATAACAAGGGGAAGGAGGTCTGCGGCTAATAAAGCCATTGGGACTGTCTTACCCGGCTGACATCTCATCCTTCCAGCCCAAGTTCCACCACTTTGCCCCCAGCCCTTTGGACCTGCCCTTTTGAACATTCCCAGATCCTGAATTCCTTCTTTTTACAAACTGCTTCTTCCAGCAAAATATGTAGGCCCTGCCTGATCTGCCTCCCAGCCCCTTCTCCAACCTCATTTCTTGCCATGACCCCTGCTGGCCACATTGGCTTTTTTTTTTTTTTAAGCATTTCCGGAAAAAAAAACAAAACAAAAACAAACACAAAAAAAAACCTGCTTCCCACCTCAAGCCTTGGCAAGCGTGCCGTTTCTTTATTTTCTGCCTGGCCTGGGTCTCCTAGCATCTCTCCTACTGCCCTCAAACTCATCCTTTCCATTTACACTTTCCTGGGTCGTTAATATACTGCTCATTTGTAGACAAAATTACAGTTTGTAACTATATATTTGCCATTATTTGGTCATTGTCCCTCTCCCCGACTAGACTGGCAGCTCCATGTTGGTGCCTGCTTGGCCTCACCATTATGTACCCATAGGCTATGATAGCTTTTGGCCTACAGTGGATATTCGATAGCTATTCCATATTGAATGAAGCCATGAGTTAATGAATGGTCTCATCAAATAATGTGAACTGTTAACCTTGTTTGCACATCAGTGGCTGATATCAATGTACTGCTCTCAGACACGATGTGTGCTATTTAGAGGATCTTGGGTCCAAGGTATCAGGCAAAGAAATCATGAGATTTTCCAGGAAGGAATTGTGCAGGCTGTTGGGAAGAACTGGTGAAGCTGGCTTGCTGTAATCCACGTATCTTCACATCCAGGCTCTGTCTGCCTTCACTGATGCATAGAAGCCTGAAGACATCAGCTATTTCGTTCAGAGGAAAGCTGGGTAACCATCCCGATGTTCATACTGAAGGCAAAGAAGCCACACCTGGGCTCTGGAGCTGCACACAGAACTCTGGGGGTCGGTGGGGTGCAGCCGCCTAGAACCAACCACTCACAGGGTCCTTTTCACTCTCTGATGCTACTCTGGTCTCACCACAGGCCTTTTTCCCTCTTATTCTTTTGATTTCAGAGAGGAAGGAAGAGAGAAACATCAATCATGAGAGAGAATAATTGATTGGCTGCCTCCTGAACGCCCCCTACTGTGGATCATACTGTAAACCGCGCATGTGCCCTGACCACGAGTCTAATTGTGACCTCCTGGTTCATGGGTCTGCACTCAACCACTGAGCCACACTGGCCATTCCCCTCTTTTGTCTTAGGTTTCTCTGCCAAGTACAATGCCATATGCCTTCCTACAAAATGGCAGCAAGGTGCATCATTAAAAGCCAGGTGTTTGGGGCACTTTTGTCACCACTGGGAAGAGTGTAAGTACAATATTTTTAGCAGACAATTCAGCAATATCTAGTAAATTTTTAATGTGCACATACTCTTCACTCAATAATTCACTTTGAAATTTTACCCTGAAGAATTCTTACACAGCAGATATACTTACAAACATGATTTTCATTTTTCTAAAATGGGAGAAAAATGTAACTGTCCAACAGTATTTACTGGTTAGACAATTCTGGGCAGTTATTTGCTACCATCATTCAATAAAGGAATATGCAAATAGTAAAAAATTAATTTATATACTGACATTGAAAGATATCCACAATATACTGTTAAAAAAAATAAACATATTTTTTTTGTTTGGCTCAGTGGATAGAGTATTGGCCTGCGGACTGAAGGGTCCCAGGTTCGATTCTGGTCAAGGGCATGTACCTTGGTTGCGGGCACATCCCCAGTAGGGGGTGTGCAGGAGGCGGCTGATCGATGTCTCTCTCTCATCGATGTTTCTAACTCTCTATCCCTCTCCCTTCCTCTCTGTAAAAAAAAATCAATAAAGTATTTGTGTTTTTAAAGAAACATGTACTACTATTTGTAATACTTTAAAAAATAAAATAAAATTTAAAAAAAAGAAAAAGAAAAAAGATTCAGGATAGTGTATAGTGTTCATTAAGTATCCTATATAATAAAAGGCTAATATGCAAATCGACCAAATGGTGGAATGACTGCGCACTGACCACCAGGGGGCAGACTCTCAATGCAAGAGATGCCCCTTGGTGGTCAGTGTGAGGGGAATGGGTCTAAGCTGTCAGTTGGACATTCCCCGAGGGGTCCTGGACTGTGAGAGGATGCAGGCCGGGCTGAGGGAGTCCTCCGTCCCGCCCCTCCCTCCCCCTACCCCCACTATGCACAAATGTTGTGCACTGGGCCTCTAGCATTTTTTAGTGATATATAGGTATGTTATTAACTATGGTTATAAGTTTACATGAAAATTTAAATTTCTGCATTGTACACTATAACCTGTTTTTTTTTAACAGGCTTTATGACTATATTTTATTTCAATTGAATAATATTCAGGTTTATAGTTTTAAGCAAAAACATAAAATTTATTTTGAAAAAGTCGTTATTCACTTGATCAACAGGCTGTCATCAGATACAGCACCAGACTTACAAAGATACTGCTAACCCTTTCCATGGTTTCTAAAAAAGCTGGTCAATGGGACTGTGGTAGCCAGCCTCCAAGATGACCTACAGTAATTCCTGACCCTTGGTATCCACACCCTTGTGTGACCCATAGAATGTGCTAGAAATGATGGCTTGTTACTTCTAAAATTAGTTTTAAAAGTCCAAGGCTTTCATCTCCGGCTTCCTCCCTCCTAGATCACTGGCTCTGGGGGAAGCCATGTGAGAGCAGCTGTACACAGGCCCCTGCAGCGAGGAACTCAGGCCTCCTGCCAGCGCCTTACACGAATGAGCTCGGAAGTAGATCCTCCCGGCCAGTCAGGCCTCTGATGCCGGCAGCCCCTGCTGACACCTCAACTGCAGCTTCCAGAGAACACCTGAGCCACAGCCGCCAGCGACTCCTGGACCCACAGAAAGTGTGAGAGAATGCGTGTCTGCTGTGTGAAGACATTGTTTGGGTTAGTTTCTTATGTAGCCATAGATAACTAATATAGGACCGGATCCACTACCAGTATATACTTTTTAGTGCCTTTCCCTCAATCTCCACATACAGCCTTTTACTTATTTTTAAACTTTATTTTTATTGTTGACTATTACAGATATCCCCTTTTCCCCTCTCTCTA